AATGTATGTTCTATCCATTTCCATCGTCTTTTCCTAATTCCATCTTCACTTGAAAATTGGTTTGTTCTCTCTCACAGAAAGCTGTTGCTGATGGTATCCGGCCAATGGATGTTGAGTATTTTGCGTAGACAACTATTTATAAATATTTGTACCTTGTTCATGGTGGTTGTAGTAGTTCTCTAAGTTTCAGCTCCATACAGTAGAACTGTCTTGACGTCGGTATTGAAGATTCTGACTTTGATGTTGGTTGACAGTTGTTTTGAGTTCCATATGTTGTTCAATTGAAGGAATGCGACCCTTGCTTTGCCAATCCTCACCTTCACGTCTGCATCTAACCCTACTTGTTCATCGATGATGCTTCCCAGGTACGTGAGGGATTCTACATCTTCTAGAGTTTCGCCATCAAGAGTGATTGGATTGCTGTTTTCCGTGTTGTATTTGAGGACCTTGGTTTTCCTCTTTGTGTATGTTGAGGCCTACTGATGCAGAATCTCAGTGATCGACCTGCCTTCTTTGTGTTTGACTGGTCTCTCTGCTTTACTATATTTTCCTGCTAGTTTCTTCGTTGTATCGTAAAGCTGTTTCATATTTCCTTCTCTTGCAGCTTTTTCCGCCGTTGTTGCTAGTTCTTCCACGTATTTCTGCTTGTCGTCTCTAATGCTCTTCTGCACTTGCTTGTTTGATTCTATGTACTCAGCTTTTGCTTGAACTTTCTGTGTTCTTGTTTGGCTGTTGTTAATTGGTGTCATCTTGTCCTTCTTTTCTTTGACCCTGTCCAGTGTTTCTGTATAAAATCCATTCCTTGTGATGATGCTTCTTGGGGTTCAGAACCTCCTGACACGTTCAAGTTAATGATTCTTTAATCCCCCTCCAATTGTCCTCCATATTAGTTCCTTCTTTTTCCAGTAGATCCTGTAAGGCTTGGGACCTGATGTTGACAGTTGTCTTGAGTTCGTTGAGTTTGTTAGTATCTCGAAGGAAGGCTGTATTGAACCTTTGTAATGCTGTTTGTCCAGTTGTCCAGTTCTTCTATAGCTTCAGTTTTAAAATGGCCACAACCAAGTGGTGAATTGAAGCTATGTCCGCTCCTCTCATGATTCTCACATTCTCCATTGTCCTTCGGAAGTTTTTATTGATGCAAATATGATTTATTTGATTCTCTGTGGTGTGGTCCGGTGAGATCCATGTAGCTTTGTGTATATGTTTGTATGGAAATATTGTGCCGCCTATGACCAATTTGTCGAATGCACACAGATTCGCAAATCTTTCGCCGTTCTCGTTCCTCTCTCCCAGCCCATGCAGTCTCGTGATATCTTCATATCCGGTGTTGCCTATTCCGACTTTGGCGTTTAGATCTCCCATCAGAATGGTGAAGTCCTTTCTTGGGCACTTCTCTATGATTGATTGCAGACTCTCATGGAATCGATTTTTAATGTTGTTGTTGCTATCATTTGTGGGTGCATAACATTGGATAATATTCATTGTGATCCCCTCCTTCTCTGTTTTGAATGATGCTTTGATGATTCCGGATCCGTGAGATTCCCATCCTACAAGTGCATTTCGTGCTAATTTGGACAGCATTAGAGCAACTCCCTGAGTGTGTGGAGCATTTTCCTCTTCGTTACCGGAGTATAGCAGCATCTCTCCCGTATTTAGCCTTTGTTGTCCAGCTTGGGTTCAATGGGTTTCGCTGATTCCCAGTACAGCCAAGTTGTATCTCCTCATTTCCGTTGCTATTTGACTGGTCTTCCCGTTCTCCCACATTGTCCGGACGTTCCATGTACCTGTAAAAATTGTTGCTCTGATTGTTAGGAGGGGCATCGGCCTTATGGCTTCCGAAACAACTCGGCTATCATCCTGAGGCGTCATATTTTATCTAAATGAAGACCTTCTAACTCCCAGGGCAGAGTTTAAATGGTTTGAGTTATTTTTTCTGGTTAGCGTTTTTTAGCGAGTTAGGTTTCTACGGGATGGAGACGCTAACCCCATGCTCAACCCTCCTCCTTTGCCCGGCATGGAACCGGCAGTAACTCTAGGGGAGCTACAGGAGGAGTTGATATATATTTTTTTTTCTCTCAGAAATTTAAAATTTAATGAGTGTGTAGATTTTCCTCTATTTCTTCTTAAACATGGTCCTTGTTACAGTTCCCAATCAACAGCTATTTCAAATCGAGTATTTTTCTCTTAACTTTATAAGAGGTTAGTTTCAAAGGGATTAAGTTTATTTTTATACGTATAGTCATATTTCAATTGAATTAAGATTCTTTTTTTAAAATACATTCAGTTTATTCCAATAAAAATGAACTTAATACATTAACGAAATACCATTGTTATGAACTATTACCCAATAGATACATCATTCTTTTTATCTATTGTTCTTTTCACGTTCTCAGTGAATATTGGACACACCCAAAAAGCTAAGTAGAATGGACTATTATTAAGTTATTCCGTTTCTATGTATAAACCAGAGTTTTAAACCTATTAAATTTCATAATACTTATATAACTGATATAGTTTGGAGATGAAAGTCATCATGAAAACTGATATAATTCACCTATTTAACAGTTTAATTATAAATATTATAAATCAGTAAATTAACTGATAAAATCTGTAAAACACATGTAGACTTGAGTAAAACGTTTTATTTTTGAGTAACTAACATTTCTACTGTAGTTAGCAGTCAGCGATTGCGAGGATAAACTCATTGAGAAGAATAAATCTAGTTCAGATTCTATGAATGATTAACAAATATTTCTGATCTTAACAGTTAGACATCAGTAAACTGAAAGCACTTCAGATTGATATTGTTGAATAATTTATTTTAATATTATAGTCATAAGCAGAAAATCTTCAATTTTAGAAATTCATTTGGATAATTCCGAGTAATTCTCAGCAATATTCATCAGTTATCTCAGTGGAAAGTTCCAAATTAAGACTAAATAGATGACTAATGTTTTCTTCTCAATGATTGTGATATAATCTAACAAAAACAGTAGCAATTTTCATTAACCACTTTAATTTAGCGAAGTGGATTTTATAATGTTGGGTATTCAATGGACTATTAATTACATTCAACTACAAAACATGTGATCATGCTGTAATGTATCAGACAGATTGTTAAAGATAATTGTAAACGATAATAGGAAGTTACTGAAGAAATAATAACGATAACAACAATATTAATTATGGTAACAGATTAGATACAATTAGTGAAATGCGTAGAATTTTTTGGATATTATGAATCAGGAAGTTTGAGATTTCATGAAAAGTAGAAATGACTAAAGAAACAAGAGATAGAAATAGGACATAAGGGAAAATATAGAAATATGAAGGAAAGTGTGGTTATGTCAGGTTCGTTGAAATAAATATGAAAGAAGACATAAAGTATCTAGGAAGACCATGTTTATGAACACTTAGAGATGAATTTGTAACAGCGATTTTAAAAATTGATTGTCAAGATCAGTATGAAATGCCTTTTGTTCTGCAAAGCATTTTTTTAGTGGACAATCGACTCGAAGATAATCTTCCGATTTGGGTCAAATCAATATGAATTTGTCGCTTTACTTACTCTTGTGGAATGGGTTATTCTGAATGAACAATGCCTGTTCTTGTTGTGAGTGTTAGATTTCCAGAAATCACTTGGTAAACGCCTTCTTTTTGTAATTCTATGTTAAAAATTTAAATTTCTTGTTTTCGCGGCGTTGAGACGCATCGGAATACGAAAGCTGAGAAAATGATTAGATACAAAATGTTGTTCCTACAAAAAAGTTAAAACTTTTGGACCGAATCTGGACAGATGAGATTAGATTTATGAGAAATGCTATTGTACTCTAGTCACAAAGAAGAAAATGACTACAACATACAAGGTGTTGCACTGATACTGTCCATAGAAGCACCAAAACCACTTACATCATGGAAATCTCATGGATCCAGAATCAGCAAATCATTCTTCAAAACATAGAAGCAAGGAATCACGATAAATGTTGCCCAATCATATACACCCACCAATGATATCAGTGAACACGACAAAAATCACTTTAATGAGAGACTGTAGGTGATCGTCGAGAAGTGTATGGGAATCGACCTGAACATCTTGATGGAAGACCGAAATGCCAAGGTCGAAATGGACAATATCGGATATGTGGATATCGTCGGACGACATGAACTGATTGTGAGAAAGGAACGCGATTGGTGACAGATTTAGTAATTGATGTGCCTTTAACAAAATGATTATAGGTGGCACTATATTCTCTCACAAACACATACACAAACCAAATTGGTCTCAATGTATCACACCACAGAGAACCAGATCGACCACATTTACATTAATAGAAAATTCAAAAGACAGTGGAAGACATGAGAACCAAGAGAGGAGCAACTACATTGTTTCACATCATCATCTATCTGGTGATTGACAAGATGAAATCAACGTTAAAGAAGCACTGGACATCTGTTGAAACAGCATTACGGATGTTCAATAGAGTTTTCCTTCGAGATACTGACAAACCCGACATATTCAGAATAGCTGTCATCAACAGGTTGCAGCCATTACAAGATCTACACCAAGAAGAGTAACTTATCCTGGATAAAACTGAAAAGAGACTAGAAAAGCACTAACTTCAACATACTGGAGGTGTTGATTTGGAGGCAGCACCATCATGGAGAGTCGATCTCCGACGACACCTTGAGGAATATCTAAGAAACCAAATAAACAAGAAGATAGCAATCAACAAATGTTGAATAAGTGCATGGAACGCGAAGATACACACAAGCGAACAAGTGAGTAGTGTATTATTATTATTATTATTGTTATTATTATTATTATTAGAGTCGACAAGTAGAAATATGTAGAAGACCTAGCAATGACAGTGGGAAAATGTGCAAGTGCATGGAATATGAGGCAACTATATAACACAACGAAGAATGTAGTAGGATATATGGTAAACCAGAAAGACCAGTGAATGACAAAGAAGGCAAGAGAATCACTGAGATCCAACAACAGACGAGCAGATGGGTAGAACACGTTGAGGAACTGTTGAATAGATCAGCTCCACTGAACACACCAACATCGAAGCAACACACACAGACATTCCCATAGCTATCACTCCATCAACAAACGAAGAAATCAGCATTGTCATCGGACATATCAAGTGTGGGAAAGCGGTAGTACCAGACAACATAACAGCTGAACCATTGGAGTTATGCATAGAATTAAATGCAAAGATGTTTTGGGTTCACTTCGAGAAGAAGTGTTAGGAACAATTAGCGACCGACTGGGAAGAATGATAACTCATCAAGATACGAATGAAAGGAGATGTGAGTAAGTGTGAGAACTACACAGGCATCACACTACTGTCAGTACCAGGAAAGCTTTCCAACGGAGTGTTGTTGAACCGGTCGACAGATTCAGTAGACGCACAAATTCATGATCAACAGGTTGGATTCCGTGAGGATCGATCGTGCACAGAACAATTCGCGACACTACAAATCATTGTTGAGCAATCGATTCAATGGAACTCGTCACTAAATGCAACTCGCTTGAATATGAGAAAGCATTTGACAGCGTGGATAGGAGATAACTATAGAATGTTTCATGACACTATCATATAGGTGAGGAGATCATCAACAACATATGCAATTCATTGAATGAACTATAGTGTAATGTCGTGCATGAGGGACTGCTCACAAATGCATTGCGATTGATGATCAGTGTCAGTCATGACTGCCTCATTTCATTCTCTCTATTTCTACTGGTGGTCAGTTGGATTATGAAAACCGACATATCTGAGGGAAGCACGGAATACAATGGACGGTTTGGATGCAACTAAATGATTTGGACTTCACGGATGAGATAGGTCTTCTATCCAATAAACAGTAACAAGAACAGTTGAAAACAGCCTCATGATGCATGACACTCAAATGCAACACGAAGAACATTAATCCAGTCACACTGGATGGATAAACTCTGGAACTGGTGTAGTCAATCATGTACCTGGTCAGCATCACTGGTAAACAAGGAAGATCTGTTGCAGACGTGAAGGCAAAGATCGGTAACCAGGGTGTTATTCCTACAGCTAAATAACATATGAAGGGGTAACAGGTTTAAGGAAGTAAATTTGCTTTTTATCGATACTCGTGTTCTTCACAATGGATTCTTTTATGTGTACACTATCCTGTTGTTAATATTATCACTATTATCTAAAATCCCAGCCTCCTTTACTCAATTGCAAAGTCATTGGAAAATCATCAACACCACTTTTTTGACCTCTTGTCCTGTTCCTTCCCTACACTCATTTCCCACTTTTAATCACTTATATTCTAAGGTCATATAGACAATTTTAATGAGTTATTTATGCTTGCATGTTATTTTTCTGACTATCTTAGCAATAAAACCTCTGTTGTAAAATCTTTTCACTCGATTTTGGTTGTTGTGTTATGTCGTTTTTTAATAGTGGTACGATATTTCTAATTAATTTGCATCTATCTACATGCTAGTAGTGTCATCTTACCATATTATTTTCTGTACTAAGCATAACATTTTGAACTGACCCCGTTCATAACGTAGACTCAAAAAGATTTAATTCACTCGAAAGTTTCATAGTTTATGAATGAAACGTTTCATTTATGAAACGTTCCCTTTATGACTTCGCTTTATGAATTTAAATAAAGCTGGAACGAACATGGATGCAGAATAATATGAATTCATTAATATTTCGTGGTTTCTCATCGGCTGCTTACAACCAAACATGTATTAAAATTTTTCATGTAGGTAAGATTTAGTGTGGAACAATTGACATCAGTGAATGTAAAGAATTGGAATGATAAATGTTATAAATAATAACTATAAATATGTTTATGCAAGAACATGTCAGAGGTTATTTGATGTTAAAATCAAGAAAACATTACGGATGGGTGATGTAATAATGGAGTGAAGTTCAGAGATAGTTAAGATAAATTATGTGATAATTTTAGAGGTAATAAAGGGTTAACGTAAGATTCATGGAATTAAAAAACTGGTAAGATGGGTTACGTAATAATTGAACAGAATTTGAAGAGTTCACATAATTTAAGAGTGAGTGGAAATGTATGGATGAAGGAATGGTTTAAATGTACATAAAATAAGAATTCGGTAATGGAAGAGTAATATGAGAAACTAAACATTAAGAGAATAAAACTAGTGATCATAAATTGGATTACCAGGGTAGTAATAGGTTTATTACTGTCTCTGTTTGAATACACAGATCAGGTTTGAGTTTTTCTTAATCTCAATCGCTTCAGTAAACCGAAAAGAAGCAGTATTTCTTTGTCTGCTAATAATTTTAAAAGTTTGAGGAATATCAATTGTTTGCTCGGTGTCAACTGAATGCCAAGCTATTTGCACTGAAGTTTGAGAATGTTTAACTATAGTTCAGTAGTCTGGATATGCTAATCAATTCACAGAATTTTCGGAATACTCTGCTGTAATACTTCACAGAATAGTAGGGCTTTAACAAACTTTCATCACATCTTCATTATCGGTATTCATCAATAAGAGTCAATATGACTAATTATGAAAACTCTAAACTAAGCATCATTTGTTATGCTTTTTATTTCACTGTATTGATTTAAACGAAATGTATCAATACGTCCATGTAACAATTATCACTAACAGCGCACTTAATGTTCAATGATTGTCATTCAATTGAAGCACTATATACATATCAGTCATGTGTTATCACTTCTTTTATGAAACAAATAAACTGTTGGTTGTTATTGTGAACAATGGTAGTCCTCAACATACACATAAATAAATGCATGATGCTGAAATACAGCACGAAGAACGTCAACTGAATTTTACATAATGTAAAAAGATCCGGAACAGGCAGAATCTTTAACGTATTTGGTCTGTATCATTGATGAACGGGGATAATTTGATGTAGATATGAATGCAAGGTTAGGCAAATCAAGAGTGATATTCTTACAGTTGAAGAACATATGGAACTCAAAATAACTGTTAACGAATATCAAAGTCAGTATCTGCAATACGAACGTCAATACTATTCTAGTGTAGGAGCTGAAACTTGGAGAACTACCACAATCACTATCAAAAATGTACAAGTATTTATAAACAATTTCCTACGTATAACACTGAGAGCCTGTTGACTGGATACCATCAGCAATAGCCTTCTGAGGAAAAGAACAAACCACGTAACAATTGAAGAGAAAATTAGGAAAGGACATGGAAGGTAGATAGGACATACTTTGCGGGAACCATCAGACTGAATAGTGAAGGGAGACCTAACTTGAAATAATGAAGTTAAAATAAAAAGTTGAAGACCAAGTAATACATTGAGTCGGGAACTGGAGACAGACATGAAAATGAGTAGTAGTTGGCAGTAATAGAACAGGAAAGCCTAGGAAAATGTATATGTGATGATCCTGGTTGGTGGCTTACAATCTTTGAGAGTTAAAACGCTTAGGTAAATAATGTTATAAATCCAGGACTACAACCGTAAGCCGAAACTTTTCTGTAGGTACTTTGTTATTATGAGAAATAAATAAAAGATCCGGAATTTACAGATTCCTAAAGCTGAAGTCTCTCTTTCTTATCGATACATCTCAAAGTACACTTAAAGGGTCAATGAGTTTCTCAGCTAATTTAATGTGTATGAAATTACAATGTATGTACCAGATATCATGTGCATGTATCTAGAAGATATGTCAGGGATTAACAAGAATTTATAAGTTACTGTGCTTCAGGAAAAGAGAGGTAGGCTTAAACAAGGTTATATGAAGTATTTAATGATGAAGGACCGAAAAAACTATTCAATTTTAGAATTGATATCATAATCTCATCAGATTAGAGAATAACTGCAGCAAGTTATGTTGTTCGTAAAAGTACTTCAGGTTGATAAATAAATGAGGAGTCCCATACTGGGACGAAACGGCCGTCCAGTGCTTCCAGGTTTTCCATGGTGGTCTAGCTTCAATTGATTCATGATTTCAACTATTGAAATTACCTATTCTCCACAAAACCCATTCTAGAAATGAATAAAACACAAACTACTGTTAATTTGTTAGTAGTACAGAACCAATCAATAAACAACCTAAGAGGAACTAAAGTTAGCTTCTAAAAATATCAGTTCTTATTACGATTCTTGTACTTTATTTTATATTTTAATAGACTGTTCTGCGCAACATTAGAGGTGACGTAAGGAGAATTCTCATATTGGTATTCCGATTGTTGGAACATGTTCATTCAGTCCTGATCTGCATGGGAAATAATTCTTACTATATGAAGTAACTGATAGATGGATGCTTCTTACAATTTTAAATGAATTCGTCCATTTATTGTAAGTAGAAACTCATTGTGATAAATTTCACATCACTGGTGTAATTTATGGTAAGGACTGAAATAAATGACTGTTAGTGGGACTATAAGGACTAATGATTTTCGTTTACTAATATATTCTAAACAGCACCTAATAAAATAAACAATGCAGTGAAAGTCTCAAATCTTAAACATCTGTACGAACATATCAGTCCTCAACTATCTACTGATAAGAATGAATCATGTTTGTTTTTGTCACTGATTTAAACAGTAGTATGGTCTATACTTTAAACAACGGAATTCTCATATATTAGAAACTAAGTTCTGAAAAACTGACTAATCTAAATGTGGGACCGAAATCCAATATTAGGTCATCAGTAGCTTCACTGATATAACTGCTTGCCGTAGATAAATTTTTCTTACTAGTTAATGGCAAGAATTTGGACTCGTAAGATTCTGATTTTAATACACGTTTAATTACATAGGAAATACTTTGTTACTTCGAGGAATAGAAAATTCACTCTGTTGTTGGATAAATCAGCATAAACCATTCAATCATTTTCTGTTGTAATGTTAGGTTCGTTAACATTATGATAGAGAGCAGTATTTTATAAAGTAATAATTTTAGGGTCACCACAGGTTAGTTGTTTTCATCTGACATTTTGAGTTTAGTTTAAACAGAATGTTCTGAAGGTTAGAACCAATTATATTTTTTCACTTCGTACTGTATCATTGTGTATCCCTTATCATTATAGTATTAATTGGCTCTATCGATTCATGAATAAAGTTGCAATCGAAGGACTCTATATCGTTCGTTTCTTGTTAAACTTGAATTAGAGTCAAGTATTCGTCCATAGAAAACCTCAATCAAGCAATATCTGTGAAAGTCTCTACGAATGTTCTAGGTCTGGCAGTGAAGACTATTTGGTTTCAGTTTTTTGTATTAAATTCTGTCTTAAAAGATATTTTCAAACCTGTATCAGAACCTTACTGGGGATATCACCCATTAATATGAAATTCAAATAATATGAATCACTAGAAATCATTATTATGTCATGCTTTATTTTCATCTCATTTGTATTCATTTTTCACTGTATTTTCAGTATACCTGTTTAATCTACGTAAGTAAATTCAGTTTCCCCTGTTATTCAATCCTATTTTGTGCAAATTGTTTTACTTCAGAGTTAAGGAGATATAAGTTTAGTCGATGTGAACTTCCATAATATTACCCAACTCTATCATTGCTGTCATTAAGAAGATATCCTGGAATTAGTTATTGTTATTTTGAATCATTCCATGATTAGAGTAAGGACTAGGAGTTACTGAATTATTGTAGAGAGTTTTAAATAGCTACACTACTTTTAAGTCACCGAATTGCTGCATACATATAATAACAGTAAAAACCAAACTGAAAAAATTTTATTTTTGGGAATGCTTATATAATTAATTTAAAGAAATGTATTTTGCAATTAAAGTTAGCGGTTATTCTTTCACCAGGCTTGTTATGTCTTTTTAATGTCCAGGTGACTTATCCACTAATCAGAATACGGCTTATACAAAAGTTCGCACTATGACAAGACCAATGACGTTCAACCGGTCTGAGCAGTCTAGCGTCCTTATTGGGTCCTATGTCCTTCTAACCCGTCCGCTTGAGTCTAGAACACAATACCAGCTTCCGTAATATGAATCGAATCGAATCATTTATTTCAGACATACTCGGTTTATATATCAATCAGGCAGACCACAAGGTAACATAAAATAGAAAATAACATGTGTACACAAATAAGCCAAAAAGTGGCTGTGAACGTGGGAGACAGTGATTAATAAACTCAGCATAATTTAGGGACAGTAAATCGTACAATGATAAATTATAGGTCAAAGTGAAGCTTATAATAAGAGTAATATAAATATACATAATCTAACTATTGAATAGTTATACCGTAAGAATATATAGATAATATTAGTCAATTAACGTCTCAGAAGTTATTCGTGATTTAATCTTCGCTCGGATATAACATGGCTGTTAGAAGAAAATGTTTTAAGGAAAGTATAAAGAAATCTTTCAAGTGTGAAAATGAAATACTAATTTGTTAAAATAGTTTAATAAACTCAATATATACAAACATAAGGGGATTTAATGAGGTATGAATTAAACATATCAAACAGTGACGTCCTGAAGCTCATCAACAAGCTCAAGACTTTCACAGTACACCAACTACAATTTTGACGTTGATTAGTGACATTAGACAGTAATTAATTCATTCTTGAAGTTGTACATACTTTTTGCACAATAATAGAATATTCATCTTTCATTACATAGTATTTCGAATGAACTGAACTAGAAGGAATTTGTTCATCTAACTGTTCTTTACTATTTTTAGTAAGGAATTTGCCATAGCTAATCACTATCACAGGACATAGATGTATTTGATTAGGTTAAATACTGTAAATATTTATAAAATTATGGTCTTTCAAACTTGTTGATTAAATATTTTGATACCTACTAAGAAATAGCATTCAATGTGAGTTCATGAGAAAACACGATTATTAGACTGTATTGTCTAAATAAATGAGGGGAAGTCACAGTGACTTGTATTCAAATGAAAACATTTACTTGGTCAAGTCGAATGGGGTTGCCATGATATTAATGACATAAAAATTCTACTAATCTTAAGAGATAGTAGATGATTAATTTAAGCATTGAGTTACTTAAGTAAAGCGTATGAATTAAAGAGATTGAATGGTCAATGCCCCAAATTAAATGGAATGGTGGCTATCAGTGCTGGACTTATAGAAACACACAACTGGCTAATTAATTTAATAAAATGTGTGTAAAGTGACTGTAACTTCATAGACAATCGGTTTACTTTTTCATTGTATTCGATTATACGGAGCATTTATCCATGGAAGTTATATCTGCAATAGTTTTCGGATTTATATCTGAGAAAGATAATAGTAAAATGCTGTAAACAAATGTTAACATATAATATAATTTCAGCTTACAGTTAGTCAAATGATAGAATATCTTTTTTTTACAGAAGATAGATATTTTAAATTGGGATACTTAAATGCTTTTGAGTACAGAGTTTTAAGCAACCTTACACTTCTACAAGCTAGATGGAATACCATTATAAACATATGTTCATCCAAAAATGTATCTGCCCTTCTTAACAATAACGTAAAATCATAGAATGATTTGGAAAGTCAAGAATTACCTCAACACAAAATAAATATTTATCATTTAATATCTACTTTACAGTATGTCAAGACACTTATAAGCATTTGATAAAAAAACATCAATAAAAATAACAAACTGTAAAAACATTGTAATGACTTAACAAAACAAACAAATGAACTGAAAGTAAAGATGTTTTTTTAAAAAAAGAATCAAATATTTCAAGGAATAGATACTTTTATTATGTTGAATGTTGAACAAATTAATTAATTCAATAATAATAATAATAATAATAATAACAATCCCTAGTAACTCTTATACTTAAACATTTTTAAGTAACTGTAATATATTGTTGTCAATGTATTTCAATTTTATTCATTATTATCAATGTTATGGTTTGTTTGAAAATAAAAAGTAAAATAAAATGACTTCTTTTAAACTTTTAAAAAATATTATTTTAAAAGTTTATTATTTTTAAAATTTTATTCTAAATCTTTGATCAGTATGGAATATAACATATTTATCGATAGTAGTTGTAGTAGTAGTAATATATTAATATTTTTTTTAACGTGATGTAGTATTGAACTGGGTGAAATAATGACCAGTTGGTTGATTTGTATATAGCTGAAAAAATGATTACAATTAAAAATAAGGAAAATAATGAATAATTTAATTAAAGCAAAGTTGATAGTAATTGTATAATTTAATATTATGGCATATGTTATAAAAATGGTAGTTAATTATTACAAAATGATATTAAATAGAAAACTACAAAATACTGAACAGTTATTTTATTTTGTTTTGAACTTTCTAATGATGCATTCCTATGATTTTATAGAAAGTCAAATCTATGGGTTTAGCAATAAAATTTTAGACTATAGAGTTGACATCAAGTGATCCATATGGAAAACTTCAGCCATTTTATGTTGTGAAAAGATCTTTATCTTAACACTTGATGAATATCTATAAAACATTCAAGTTATCGTTCAAAAGATTTATATTTTGTATTGAGAATGAATTAGGAGTAATCAGAAATATGTCTATATATATCCTCTTACTGTTCATATACTTTCAGTAGTAAATTTCCACACTTAATAAGTTTTTTTAATTTAATAGTTGAATCCATTAGTCAATTGAAGTTAAACCACCATAGTAGACTTGAAAACACTGGACGGCCGTTTTGTCCTAGTATGGGACTCCTCAGCAGTGCACATTAATGAATCCAACTATTAAATTACTAAAATATCCACAAAACCCTCTTCTGATAATAATCATCATGTACTCACCAGTGACTGGCTTCAAGAGGTATTTCCTTGAGTTTCAGTGAGAAGCAGTGAACAGTAGAGCTCAACCAGGTCTGTTGTGAGATATCAGCTCACTGAAGACAATAGTGGACGGTAGCGCAATTTTGTAATCTGGTTGAAGTTAGACATTAATATCGTTGGATGCCGGCTCATTGGTCTACAGGTTAAGCGTTCGCGCGCGAGATCAATGGGTCCTGGTTTCGAATCCCGCGAGGCGGAACTGTGGATGCACGCTTCTGATGAGTTCCATACTAGGACAAAACGGCCGTTCAGTGCTTCCACGTTTCCCATGGTGGTCTAGCATTAATTGGCTCATGACGTCACCTATTAAATTACTAAAATTTCCACAAAACCCTCTTCTGAGTAAATATTATTGAATACGTTATGAATATGCATTGTAGGAAGTAAATTGTTTTATCCATAGATAATAAAGTTTAACTGACTATACGAAAAAAAATCATCAATAAAATTGATTATATTGAAATGACCTAAATAAAACACTTTAATTGTATAAATTTTAATATTTCTTATTTACTTAGTAATTATCCCTTAAAAACTATAGAACAGAAACTTGTAAGTATATTTAATACCAGTACTATTATGTGTCTTTTTAAATTAAAATGATAATATATCACCTCGCTGATCACACCCTAATAAACGGAAAAGAAATGTTTGTTTTCTTATATATATATATATATATATATATATATATATATATATATATATATATATAGAATATGCTTGAAATTTTTTTCTCAACACTATTTGTCATTTAATTCACCCTGTAGGCTTGTAAACGTTTCTCTTCCAAGTTTATTCATAACAGATATCTTAATATTTAATTTATTTTCGGTCAGACATTTTAACAGCAACAACCAAAAGATTTATAAAGGGAAATTTTAAAAATTTTTGGATTTTTCTATTTGTCATTTTGTTTGATTTATATACCTTGATTTAACTATCATTTCATCTTAAATGTAAATTTTTCACTTAAAACGATACTAAGGTGTACAACAAAGTTGCTAAAATATTCCATCCAACCAAAAACCCAATCTCACAAGATCTTATAGGATTTTATATAAGTGCGATATATCTCTTCTAGTTACTTTTTTGCATCAGAGCAAAGAAAGAAAATTAACGACAACGACTTGAAATAAAACTAATGACGATAAAGAATATAATTAGTTCGGTGTAAAGAAAATCAAAGAGTGGTAACAGCGAAATAATATTCAAACATAGGAGTTTGAGGAATATGAAGATGAATAAAAATTGTACTAGTAAAAAAATATTTCAACCGTGTGACGTAAGGTCTTTAATCAAAGAGCAGGATCACCTCTCAAGACTCAATAAAAAAGTCTATATTTTACTGTACAGCTCAGACTAGAAGAAAATTATTTCATCAATAGATGCCATTTTGTTTTTTGGTCAGCAAAAGTCCTTGTTAACTGATTACTATGATAACAATCAAAACAAAAAACAAATCATGTTGATAGTGACTTGGGCAGCCGTAGATAAAAATAATCTTATTATCAATGTTTTATAACTTTGAATTGAAGGAAGATAATCTTATGTGTATTAAAAGAAGGACTTCACAACTTACTTCTTTGTTCAAGTAATCCTGAAAAGCTTTTTGTTCATGAGCAAGTTGAAGATTTTTTTCAGCTACTTTTCGATTTATTTCACGTGTAGAGCGTTCAATTTCCCTTTCTATTAACAAGCCTAGTTTGGCTGATTTTAATAGTTGATTATCCCATTCTTCATCCTCTTGTTTTTGTCTTGCTAATTGACGCTTCAATAAACAAATAAATAAATATAAGAGATTTTTGTTAGATGTTGGTCTAATTTATTGAGTAATGTATACCAACAACTTGTTTGTAAACTGATAACTTTCAAGCGACTGTCACGTTTCATGTAAAAAATCGACTGCAAATCCAAAATAAATGTAACGAATTTAAAGTAACAAGTAATTAACTAGTAAATGGAAGGTTTTACAAATCTTACTTAGTTTTATTTCGAAATGAGAACTGTTTAAATTGACTAACTAACAAACCCGAAAACCTATATTAAAATATTTTCAGCAACACTAATCTTCTGTGCTTATCAGCAGAATAAGTTAAAAATTCATTTTAGCGATGATAACCATGGTGATCTGATGTGTTATCTGACTTTCGTTATCAAGAATGATCTTTAAGAATGAGAAATTTGATAATTTTCAGTTCTTTTATTTACATTAACAGTGACAAACAGCTAATATAAACAGGGTATTTGTAAGTTGTAACACTAAAATATACAACATAATGCATTATATATTTAGCCACTTTTACACTAGCTTGAGCTAAGCAAATGCGCATTCTCGAAGCTTATAACCAGAAAACTTCCCAAAAAGATGTGTTAAAAACCTATGTGAACGTTTGGTTGAATTTCGAATACTTTAAACTCAACATAACTGCTAACCAATCTGATACCTCTTTTTCTTTCATTTGCTCCTCCTGAGATTTACGAATATCTTTTATTTGTTCAAGTGTCATTCCTTTGTAACGGTCAGGAATTATTCGATTAATTCCAAAAGCAGATATTGCTTGAGCAGGATTCTCGCTAAGGAAATCACCATATATTGCATTGCATATCTCTGTCATATTGTCATCTTCTGTTTGTTTGGCTTTTAGAAGAGCTTTTTGATCACTTTCTTCTTTTAATAGTTTGTTATATCTCTGCATGGCTACATTTATTGCTCGCCGACATTGTTCCTCAGCTTTTTGAAGTTCACATGCACGTTGATCTAAATCTCTTCTTTTAAGATCATACAACCTGGGTGTTTTCAAAATTGAGATGAAAAATTAAAATATTTCAAAATAAGAATCACCTTACTAAGAATAGAAATGACCATGTAGTTCTGTTTATACTTCAACTAGCATTTATTTAACAACGTGTTCATTACTTCTGCTGCATCAAACAGGCGGCAATGTAGCAGGGTCCAATTTATGTGCAGTTAATTTAAACCAGGGATATACTAGCCAGAAGAAAGTAAATACCTAATTTTCATACTTGATGAATGTATATCTAATAGTCTATTGACAAATATAAAGAATTGGTTATTAGATGGTGAAATTGTACACAATTGATACCAAATTATATAATACTGAGAATCAAAATGTTTCAGATTATCTGCTCACATATGTAGGCTTAACAAACAGGATTCTCTATAGCAACGCACATGTTTGTAGGCATTTAAACAAGTGGAGGCAAAGAAGCTTGTTTGATAATGTCTGTTGATGAAATAATTTCTGTGAATAATCATCGATATTTCTTCTGCATCACAAAGTTTTTTAGTAGTTGTTATCGGTTACCAATTTCAATTATTACGTTTACAGCGTAACTACAACCTATTTCACCGAAAGCAGCGGGTAAACTGCTGTCTAACTCAGTCAGATTTTCTAATTAAATGCTTTATGTATTACCAGCTGAGATCCCCAAAATTAAAAGCACTTATTAGTTTATTTTTTGTTTGGCTTCCTAACACCGATAAATTTTTGCGACAGAAGAGCCAAAACAACTTGAATACTGTAGTAATATGAAGCATTATAACACAAGTGCAAAACAAACTGATTGAATTTTACATGGATGAAATAAGACTACCTGAAAAGTTAAATTGATAAAACAAGACTAGAGTAAAAAAGGGCCGAATCATCCGTTTAAAGCTAGTCTTTTTTGTTCGAAATGTCATCACGCAAATGTTTTGTAAACCACTAGGACTATTAGGTTGTGCAATTGTTTAATATGGAATGCTATTCAATTTTCAAGGCCTGCCAAACAGATTGATTCATAAAATGAGTAATTCGTCATCCATTTCACTTTTAAACATCGCTAAATTGGTAGAAAGCAAAATAATGAGTTGACAAAATAGATATCTCTATCGCAAACAATATACACCTTAAAGGACCCTAAACATTAAAGTCTCAGGTTAATAAAACTTAGTAAATTGTTTCTTGTAGTATTCTGTAGCTGATTATAAAATGCGAAAACGAAAAAAAAGCGCTTCGAGTAATAACCACTATCAGTAAACATCGCTAATTACCAACACAAAAGTGACCATTTAATCAAAAATTCACTTAGAATGGAGTCTCATATTGTTCTGGCGCTGATATCTGGCTTAAGTATTGGACTGATAGACAAGGACTATTACCTTTAAATAAGCAAGCTAGTTGTTCCGCCTGGTGAAGAAAAAATCACTGCAAATACATTATTAGGCCTAAATAAATCTATACTACTGTATTTCATTGTAAAATGTTCTGTATAGATTGAGAGAGTTATGTTAATTCCGTACGACATTATAATCATTTTGAACAACAAGCTTCGACACAGCATGTGATCGTTGAATTCATTCAACTAACTTATGTTGAGCTATGTGATTGATTAAAATGCCTTATGAGTGTATACTTACGGTATCCTTTGTTTGCTTATCCATCTATTTATTTATCTAACTGTTAACTATATTTCATTACTCTGTTGATATATAAATATTTGGTACACGTTGATTGGATGGCAGGTTGAACGGTTTGAACTCATATCAATAAATTGCCAAGGATACGTGCATGATGTAGTCATGGATTTGTTTCTACTCCGATACAATTGCTGGTAATTGTACTGTCATTTTTAATGTAAATACAATATATTTAACGAAATGTCTGCTTTCGACGTTAAGTCTGTATCAAAATTACTTTGTTTCTGTTGTGTCGATTCAATTCATTTATGACTCGATTGTACATGTCAGTTAATTTAGTTGTTTATATATATATTCAGGGACATTGCTATCCGAGTTCTTATTCAGTTTTTTCGTCATCATCAATCCACTAAATGTAAAAACCATGATATAATCCTTTGTACTCAAGCTATTTGATTTTATGAAGGTGGATAAATGAATATTTACTCTTGGGACTTGATCACGTGATATTTAAAATACCTAAACCGCACTAATTGAACCCTTGTAAGAAATTGGTTTTTATCGTGTTTTGTATAGACACAATCGATCTCTCAACCCAAATTTAAGACCATTCGGATTATCAGAAAGAGCATACTTTTCCATCACCAGCCTTAGCTATTCAAAAGTAACCAGCACTGAGGAGAACTATACAGATCTCCTTTAGAATAGCTCCAATTTAGAATTTCTAAAAATCTTGTGGAACATTATAACTTAAAAGCTTTTCATTGGTTGAAACAAAAGACAAACAGCATGTAAAAGTTCGGATTTGCATTAAGATTCATTGCAAATTAACCATACAAAGAGCGGTTTGAAAAGCTGGACCTCTTTACTCTGTCCTATTGCAGACTAAGGGGAGACCTAGTTTTTATGTACAGAATACTGAGAAATGATTTTGGACCTAACTTTTTTCCACTGGATCGGGACATCTCAGAAGGCACAGCGGGCTAGTAGAAAAGTCAAGAATGAACAAAATACCCATAGCATACAGGTTTTCACACCGAGTCATCAATACTTGGAGCCTGCTGCCCAAAGCAGTGGTGTCTGCACCTTCAATTTACCTTTTTAAGAGAAGACTGGACACTCAGAAGTATGCTAGAAAAGGAATAGCACAGGCTGTAGGCTTTCTGTCCTTACTACACAAATCTGAATCTGAAATCATGCTCAATATGCTTTGTGGTCCCTGGATGATTTGAGTTATATAGCTTTAATTTAGTTTTACAACAAATGTTAACACCACAAAATGTCACATATCGAGAAAAATGACTATTAAATCTTCGTTTGTCTCTAACACTTGGGAAGATAGTGTGGATTGCTTATGAAAAAGCATCTTCGAAACCAAACAAAATCCCTAAAAATCATTCAATTTAAAAACGACCTCAGTACAAGAAGGTGGATTTTAAAAATTTTGGTGCATAGAGATATAAAAAAGACATAAAAGATCAGCCTTTCACAACAAAACTCCAGAAAAGTGAAAAACCACCAAAAAGTAGTCACTCCTCACTGATTCCTCGAGGAGCACATATAATTATATTTACCTGTCCGCCTCCTTCTTGGCATTTTCGGCCCTATTCCTTTCCTCAATCTGTCTGTCAAACCAGTTTTGTAGCTGTTCTCGTTGATATTTCATTCTAGCCTTTAAATTCAAATCTTCACCATCAAACTTTTGAAGAGAGGCAACACCACATCGAGGGTCATCATCAGAAACACGAGCAGGACGGTCTAATTTTAATGCATTGGGATCGTAAAGGTCGAATTCTCTTCTTGACTCAGGTTGCTGATGAATGGATCTAAATTCATTAAGATTCTTTGCGAGTTCTCTTTCATCATCATGTTGTCGCTTCTCTAATAAGCACGCAATCTTGTCGTTACGCGCTGCATCCGCAGCTTAGCCCCATGTAAATAATCAATTAACGATTTACCATATGCTAATTCACGTTGTTTCTCTTCTAACTCTCGAAGTTTTTTCTCCTCCACCTGATGTTTAAGAGCTTCGTCATCAATCTGTAGCATAATGAATTCAATGAACTTTTAGAACTAACCCCAATTTGGCGAACACGGGCGTCAAAAATACGTGCTTGACGCTCTTTCTCTCTCCTTCTTCTTAATTCAATCGCTGCAGCTTCTTTAGTATCTATCGGCAAATCAAGTTTATACATTTGTCTTAACGACCCTCAACTTTCGTAATCGTACCCAATCGGTTGTTATAGTAATGTGGTACATAACAATCTGATCACACAATATCATGATAGTGAATTGTCAAAATAATCTGCTTTTCAATATTATTTACAATATTTCTTTTATATATATATGTTATGAGGTCAGTATAAATATCAAAGATTTACAGATTGACTCGTTTCGAGGATTTATTTACTGCTATAGCTCACTCCTTCTTAGCCGGGTTGTAATGAATCTACAACGTGATCAACCAGACGTTTACACTCAACAAGCAAGTCGTTGATAAACACTCTTCTGATAGCTTGCTACGTCCAGCAGCATCTGGTTGTCTTTCTTTGGGACAAGGGGTCATATGGAACAATATAACAATAAAGAATGTACTACTAAAGTTTTGACTCATTGTATTCATCTTCTGTTTTCCATCTTTTCCAGCCATCCTGGGAAGGGAAACAAATTAACATGTAAGTACGTGTCGAAATGCATTCGCAATTGCATAAGGATACAGAACGTGAGGAATCAAGCCGGTATATTAGAGTGCGCATACCACGCGACCGCATGAACAATTTTATGACAGAAACATTGCTTTTGGGTATTTTCGTGGGAAAAATTATAAACACATGTATAAGCGATTAGGTGAGACTAAACAATAAACTTATACGTGCAGTATATGATAAAGTGTTCCAGAAATCTTGCCGTTCTTGCAGAGCGCATTGTTTAGGCAAATCGTTGGATTTCAGCGGATTTTTATCGTCATTAATTATCAGGAATGACATCATAGTCATAAGACCTGTATCGTTCGATTGTTCACGAGGAAAATTGATAAAATCACTGTTTATTTCCCCGCGAACCGACTTTAGGACGGTGAACGTTAATGCTGTCGTTAATTTCGTACATATGGATGGTACAGTAATTAGGTTTGCAATGAAGAACTTAAAAATGTCAATAATATACAGTTTTGAAGAGTCATTGTAATAAAACACGACGCAAAAATGTTGTGTAGTAAGTCATAAGACAGCTTGAGCGAGAACATTGCTTGACCGCGATTTAATGTAGACAGATTTAACTGAACGCATGGTGCTTGCAAGCCTGTTGATGTAGGGTTTCAGATCCACACTCGTTAATACTGATGAAGTATTCACAAATTCTCCTGAAAGTCCAAGTCTTGTTACGGAAACGAGTTGTACTTCAGTGTGTCCCACGTCAGTTTTTACTTGATTTGGAATACCAAGTAACATGAGTGGAAAGGCGTTGCTTCATTGCACGTGAGAGTGAGGATTTCCACGGTTGGTGAAATCGTTCTACTGACCTATTCGCATTTAAAAGTAGACGACTATTCAGAATTTCGTTGTTCTTAGTAGGAATACTTACTTACTTACTTACGCCTGTTACTCCTCGTGAAGGAGCATATGCTGCTCCCCAGCATTCTCCATCCAACCCAGTCCTGGGCAATCCTTTCAAGCTCTTTCCAGTTCTTATTCATATTTTTCATATCTGCTTCTATTTCCCGACGTAATGTGTTCTTTGGCCTTCCACTTTTCCGCTTCCCTCCACGATTCCAAGTTACCGCTTGCTTTGTGATTCAGCTTGATGATTTGCATAATGTATGTTCTATCCATTTCCATCGTCTTTTCCTAATTCCATCTTCACTTGAAAATTGGTTTGTTCTCTCTCACAGAAAGCTGTTGCTGATGGTATCCGGCCAATGGATGTTGAGTATTTTGCGTAGACAACTATTTATAAATATTTGTACCTTGTTCATGGTGGTTGTAGTAGTTCTCTAAGTTTCAGCTCCATACAGTAGAACTGTCTTGACGTCGGTATTGAAGATTCTGACTTTGATGTTGGTTGACAGTTGTTTTGAGTTCCATATGTTGTTCAATTGAAGGAATGCGACCCTTGCTTTGCCAATCCTCACCTTCACGTCTGCATCTAACCCTACTTGTTCATCGATGATGCTTCCCAGGTACGTGAGGGATTCTACATCTTCTAGAGTTTCGCCATCAAGAGTGATTGGATTGCTGTTTTCCGTGTTGTATTTGAGGATCTTGATCTTCCCCTTTGAGTATGTTGAGGCCTACTGATACATAGGCTGCTATTACGTTAGTTGTCTTCATCTGCATCTATTCGTGTGTATGGGATAGGAGAGCTAGCTCATCTGCGAAGTCCAAATCGTGTAATTGGTTCTGAGCTGTCCATTGTATGCCATGTTTTCCCTCAGATGTCAAGGTTTTTATAATCCAGTCGACCACCAGAAGAAACCGGAAGGGAGAGAGTAGACAGCCTTGTCTTACTCCGGTCCTTACTTGGAATGCATCTGTCAGCTGTCCTCCATGCACTACTTTGCACTGTAGTCCATCGTATGAGTTCCGGGTAATGTTGACAATCTTCTCAGGAACTCCGTAGTGTCGAAGAAGTTTCCATAACGTCCTCCTATCTACACTGTCAAATGCCTTCTCATAATCAATGAAGTTGATATATAGTGACGAGTTTCACTGAAATGATTGTTTGACAGTGATCCGCAGTGTCGCGATTCGGTCTGTGCACGACCGATCCTTACGGAATCCAGCTTGTTGATCTTGAATCTGAGCGTACAATGAGTCTTCCATCCGGTTTAGAAACACTGTTGAAAACTTTTCCTGGTACTGACAGTAGTGTGATGCCTCTGTAGTTCTCACACTTGCTCAGATCTCCGTTCTTTGGAATCTTGATTGGGTGTCCTTCATTCCAGTCCATCGGCACTTATTCCACTTCCCAAATCTTCTTGAATAGAAGATGAAGCATGCTTGTAGTTACTTCGACGTCTGACTTCAGTGCTTCAGTTGGGAAATTGTTAGGTTTTGATGCTTTCCCGCTCTTGATTTGTCTGATGACCATTCTGATTTCTTCGGTCGTTGGTGGATTGACATCTATAGGAAGATCTGTGTGTGCTGCTACGATGTCCGTTGGATTCATTGGCGCCGGCCTATTCAGGAGTTCGTCGAAGTACTCTGCCCATCTGTTCCGTTGTTGCTGAATCTCAGTGATCGACCTGCCTTCTTTGTGTTTGACTGGTCTCTCTGCTTTACTATATTTTCCTGCTAGTTTCTTCGTTGTGTCGTAAAGCTGTTTCATATTTCCTTCTCTTGCAGCTTTTTCCGCCGTTGTTGCTAGTTCTTCCACGTATTTCTGCTTGTCGTCTCTAATGCTCTTCTGCACTTGCTTGTTTGATTCTATGTACTCAGCTTTTGCTTGAACTTTCTGTGTTCTTGTTTGGCTGTTGTTAATTGGTGTCATCTTGTCCTTCTTTTCTTTGACCCTGTCCAGTGTTTCTGTAGAAATCCATTCCTTGTGATGATGCTTCTTGGGGTTCAGAACCTCCTGACACGTTCAAGTTAATGATTCTTTAATCCCCCTCCAATTGTCCTCCATATTAGTTCCTTCTTTTTCCAGTAGATCCTGTAAGGCTTGGGACCTGATGTTGACAGTTGTCTTGAGTTCGTTGAGTTTGTTAGTATCTCGAAGGAAGGCTGTATTGAACCTTTGTAATGCTGTTTGTCCAGTTGTCCAGTTCTTCTATAGCTTCAGTTTTAAAATGGCCACAACCAAGTGGTGAATTGAAGCTATGTCCGCTCCTCTCATGATTCTCACATTCTCCATTGTCCTTCGGAACTTTTTATTGATGCAAATATGATTTATTTGATTCTCTGTGGTGTGGTCCGGTGAGATCCATGTAGCTTTGTGTATATGTTTGTATGGAAATATTGTGCCGCCTATGACCGATTTGTCGAATGCACACAGATTTGCAAATCTTTCGCCGTTCTCGTTCCTCTCTCCCAGTCCATGCAGTCGCATGATGTCTTCATATCCTGTGTTGTCCATTCCGACTTTGGCGTTTAGATCTCCCATCAGAATGGTGAGGTCCTTTCTTGGGCACTTCTCTATGATTGATTGCAGCCTCTCATAGAATTGATCTTTAACGTCGTCGTTGCTATCATTGGTGGGTGCATAACATTGGATAATATTCATTGTGATCCCCTCCTCTGTTTTGAATGATGCTTTGATGATTCCGGATCCGTGAGATTCCCATCCTACAAGTGCATTTCGTGCTACTTTGGATAGCATTAGAGCAACTCCCTGAGTGTGTGGACCATTTTCCTCTTCGTTGCCGGAGTATAGCAGCATCTCTCCAGTATTTAGCTTTTGTTGTCCAGCTTGGGTCCAATGGGTTTCACTGATTCCCAGTACTGCCAAGTTGTATCTCCTCATTTCCGTTGCTATTTGACTAGTCTTCCCGTTCTCCCACATTGTCCGGACGTTCCATGTACCTATAAAAATTGTTGCTCTGGTTGTTAGAAAGGGGCATCGGCCTCGTGGCTTCCGAAGGAACTTGGCTTTCACCATGAAGCGTCATATTACCTCTAACTGCCAGGGCAGAGTTTAAATGGTTTGAGTTATTTTTTCTGGTTAGCGTTTTTTTAGCGAGTTAGGTTTCTACGGGATGGAGACGCTAAACCCATGCCCAACCCTCCTGATTTACCCGGGCTTGGGACCGGCAGTAACTCTGGAAGAGCTACAGGCGGAGTCCTCAGTATGAATACCCAGATTTGAATTAGCGTCCACGGTCTGTGGTGTTTATTGAAGGGCAGAGGAAGTTTACTACTCATCGTTTGACGTATGCGCGTGTCATTGTTTCTGTAGTAATGTCCTTGGTATGCATTAATTCTGGCCATCGTTTGAAACCGTATACACACAATAAGGGATAAGAGTATCCACTTAAATGTGGTAAGAGTTCTAGAAAACCATAACAAACACATAAAAAAGTGGCATGAATAGTTGTGACCGAGCTTAAGGGATATTTGATGTGTTCAATCACATTAGATGTCTTACAGCTTGCACGAGAGGGCACTCCCTCTTCTACATCTTTACTTAAACCAGGCCAGTAAATTTGACCCGCTATTAGCTGGATGATTATTTGAATACCTGAGTGCGAAGGTCGATGCAGCGTATCGAAGACGATGCGTCGATAATGTTTTGGGACGTTTGTGC